CTATCCGGGATAAATTATCCCGGGATTACTATACCACCAAATGGGAGGGATAACGTATCCCAATACTAATTCCTAATCCTAGGATAAGTTATCCCAAACTTTCCAACCAAACAAGGAAATAAAGGGTACTTGAAAGTTATCCCGGGATTAACTCTCCCTATCCATCACACCAAACGACCCCTAAGATCAATAAATAGTGGTCGCGTAGAGATGTTATTAGCTATGCCAACTAATATTCTTATACCCCTTAGATCTGTACGAGCTTGTCCGCACACCTGAACGTTTTGTTATCTTTTTTCCCTTTGTTTCTTTGTCCACGTCATTAGTGTTGAACCTTTTATAGCCTTTAGAGTATTTTTTCTTTCCCCTTTATCGAGAGTTTCCTTCTCGGGGAATCAACTTTCCCAGTCTCTCTTCATTCTTTTCCTCGAGTGTCATGTCTCTCTTCATTTTTTTCCTCGAGTGGCATGTGTATTCAATCAATTCTCTCCCTATACAATAGACTTTTGTAGTCAGACTTTTCTATGAATGTTTTTTTAAATGACTTTTAATTTAGAATGTCTTTTAAATGAATGGAACGAATTGAACTATTTATAGGTTACAATAGTGAGGCAATAGCTAATAGAAATGTCCCAATTGAGCCCTAAAGTACTAAAATCATTAAATAAAGGATGTGTGGAGATATTGTTAATGATGTCAACTAATATTCTTATAGCCCTTAGATCCGTACGTGCTAGCTCGTCCACGCACCTGAACCTTCTGTGATCTTGTCTCTTTGTCCACGTCATAAGCGTCCGAACCTTCCTAAACTTTAGAGTATGTTTGCTTTCCCTTTATTGAGAGTGCCTTCTTGGGGAATTGACTTTCCCGATCTCTCTTCATTATTTTCCTCGAATGTCATGTATGTGTATTCAATCAATTTTCATCCTATACAATGGATTTATGTGGTCATATTTTCTCTGAACCCTGCATATATAACGAAAGTTTTAATGTGTTTCACATATTTGGTACTAGTAATTAATTAATCACTTGTTGAATTTTCATCATTTCCTATTTGAATAATAATAGTTGAATAAGGTACATTATGTACTAACTAGATCTGTATTTATATCCTATTTTCAACAAAAAAATCATGATGCTTTACCTAATTAGCTTTACTTTATTTCTTACTTGAAAGAAAAATTAGTGCGGTTGATTTGATATTAATTAGAAATTTCCTTAATTTGTCCCATCACGACTTTGTCCTAACACAATCTCAGTAATTGAGATTAAGAATTAATTAAGATACATGACAGGTGGATTAGATTTGGATCAATGAACTAATTAGTGGGATCAACTCATGAACAAATTATGTTGGCTAATTTGTGTGTTGGTGGGATGAACGTAGTCACATGCTTTCTACAACAAGACAATTTTGTCCAATTATTATAGGGAAAATGCATAAGTCCCCCCCAGTCTATGCTCAAAATCCCTGAAACATACCTAACCTTCACTAAGGTTCTATTACTCCCTGAACTTATTTTATATATAATTTTCTACCCCTTTTCGGCCTACGTGGCACTATCCTTGAAAAATTTGTCAACACACGCAGGGCCCACAAAGTAGTGCCACGTAGGCCGAAAAGGGGTAGAAAATTATATATAAAATAAGTTCGGGGGTAATAGGACATTAGTAAAGGTTAGGTGTGTCTCAGGGATTTTGGACATAGGCTGGGGGTATTTTTGCATTTTCCCAATTATTAGATAATTAGTGTTTCATTATAAGAACGTGATGCGTTGTTTCATTTATTTACCGTTCCCTTATTATTTGTCATGTTTTTTTGTTTTTGTTTGGAAATAGCCTCTTTGAATTTAGTAATACTTCAAAACAGATAAATCATACATATCGGTTATCTTGTGTGGAAAATAGAAATAATTAATGATAGAGCAAAAACTAATAGCATCTGATTTTATTTCGGATGAAACGAATCCCTCACTTTGATAAAAAAAAATAACAACTAAACACGAGATTTACATTTTTGTAAGACAACCAAATACCTTAAAGATACGAGCAACAATAGTACTCATGGCACCACATGCGTTCGCGTTACCCCTCCTAACAACTCTATATATATTGATCGTGTCATCCTTATTTTAGGACGTAGCATATGCTCACTCTTCAGCCTTCCATATCAAAATTGGGTTGTGTACTTTCATATAGGGCGATACTATAACAATTATAATAATATATTCAAGGTAATCTGTTACAAATAAAGTTTGGGAAGGTGGTTTGTGTACACAATTATGAAGGTAACAAGTTTGTCTATGATAGACCATTGCCTAAGTAGATCATATAAAAACAAATGTAAAGGAAATACAATAACAGAAAAGTCACGATGAAAACAATAAAGAAGAAAACACTAGCAACCGCAAAAAATACAATAACTAAATCAAATACAACATCAAGTAATACTCATAGAGTCTAAGAATAAACATAAGAGTAACAATCACAATACTGAAATAGTAACTTAACACCACTCGCCGTGTTAACTTTCTACCATAATTCTCGACCTCTATATCTTCTTATCTAACAAAATCTCATCAATTTTTAAAAATCTAAAATCTTTTGTTCGTTTTTCACTCTTTCCTATTCACGTGCTCACTAGTCACTGACACCAAAAGAAAAAAGTGACATGTTCAAAAAGGTTTAGTTATATATATCTACCAAGTTAATAAAATTGAAAGGTGTATATCTACAACCAGTAAAATAAGATCAAAGTTAGATTTTACTTTTGTACAATAAATCTAGTAGTCACATGATTTCAAAATTCACAGTACAAAATTTAGAATTTTTTAAAGGATAAAAGTAATTAAAAGTGAGATTTAATTTGGGGAATCAACCTGGCTAAGTGTGAGTTGTAGTTGGATCACGTTCAACAATTTATATATTGCAAGTGATCCAAGAAAATTTGTACTTCCCAACGTACACTACATTACAAAAATTGAGACAATAATAATAAATTAAATAAATAAATAGTAAGGTGTATAAAATATAGATAATGTGTAAACATGTAATGCTTGAAGGTAACAAAGTTTTTGGCAGCTCTGATCACATGAATTCCCAATTCCCCTACAGACAAGTAACCCCACCACCCCCACCCCCATAAAATCAGCATATCATAAAATTATAATACAAGTTATATATATATATATATATATTGACTATTGCAATAAATATACTATTTAGTTTGTGTAACATATTATAAAATGAATACACTCTCCGATTCATATTAATTAAGTGAATTATCGAATATACAATACCCTTTTACAAAAAGTATTTAAAACATTAAATTAAAAGTTAGTTTCTGTTATTAACTTTTTAATTATACCTAGTTTAATTACTAGAAAATATAAAATAACTTAATAAGAGTCTCATTAAATGAAGAGTAAATATGAAAATAATTAAAAAGTCTCAATAATTATCTTGAGCTTTGAATAATTCACTTATTATGAACTATGAAAAAAATCTCAACAATTTACTTAATATGAACTTGAAGGAGTAACATTTTTGGTCTTCCATTATTTATATTTAATTTAGCATATTTAGTCATATCAATTCACAATCAGATAAACAAATTTCAATATTTTTTAAAAAGCATATTAAATGAGATGTCATTACATGTGACATTATCTTGTACTCTTCCTCATCACTAGAGGATATATACATTCAATTTTATGAAAACAATTTATAGTGTTATTGAACCAATATACAAATTACTAGTTTCGCCTTCGATAGCATATTGTATAAATGAGATAATTATATTAGAATAAAATATTACGTACGCCGATTGATGTCTCCTTGTTGGAAACATGAGTTGAGTGAGTAGTCTACAAAATTAGTGAGCCACGTCATTAGATTAAAGAAAAGGATTGTTGTGTTGTGTGGTGGGGCTCAAGGGTAAGGGGATGGGGCCCTCAATTAAAGATTGCCACGTGGATCCATGATTATTGGGTGTAACCTTTGTAGTGAGAGAGCACATGGGGATGGTGTTTCCTTCGAGAATTTCATGTGATCACATGTGCTTTTACTTTGTTTTTTTCTCTTATAATGGACCCCACCTTCTGCGTCCTTATCCTGTTTTCCCTATACCCTCACGCACTCGATCACACTGAACCTCTCCGTTCTCACTCGCCTGTTTCATCGACGTGACTTTCACTTGCGGAGATGTACATTGAGAGGATAGTTATACAAGGATGTTGAAGTGATAAGATATGATATGACGTATTTTTTAGGTTACCAAGAATAAGACTATAGATAGAAGGATGTGGAGGACATGAATTAAGGTTAAGATTAGTAGATAGTATAGTGTTGTTTTGCTTAGATTGCCTAGTATTGTAGTTTTTGTTTTTATTTTTATTTTTTGTTATTGATTTTTAGTAATTTATCCTAATATGTTGTTCGTGGTATTTGAATTATCACATGACTTTATTGTTGTTTTGGCTCATTTTTTATACACTTTTTCACTGTTTTCTTGTTATTTGTTATATTCTCTTCATTGTCTCCTTTGTTTTTTTATATTGGAATTTGTTACAATTGAGTTGATGATCTTTCAAAAAGTATCTCCTTACCTTCACGAAGTAATGGTAAAATCTACATAAATTTTATCTTCTCAAAGTCTCATTTATAAAATTTCACTGAATATATTTATAGTTGATGATCAAAAATATGTTTATATTATCATTTTTTTTCATATTACTACTTATACATTGAAATATCTTTCAATTATAAGTTATTTTTCGTTTTTATTTGAATTATCATCATTAATCAAGGTAAGAAAAAGGAACAACTAATATTCGAGGAGATAAAATCACTAGGGCATGTGACGCGTGGGAGTTAATCGCGATGACAAACCAATATGGATCACTAAAAACCCAAAAGCCCAAAAAAGTAGGCCCAGCTTGGTTGGCATTGACATTTCTATAACACAACAATAATTTAACAGTCCACCACCACCACTTTCACCCTATAACCATTCTTCTCTTCTCTTCAACAAAAAAGAAAAAAAAAGTTCCATGGAGAGTAGTTGTGAAGAATCAAGTGCAATAGTAGCCACATTTTCAAGAAAAGATAAGAGGATGACTCAAAATGTGTCTAAAAGGCAAAAAAGAAGGAGAGAAAGTGGCTATATTGTTAATAATAATAATAATGAAGAAGAAGAAGTGGAAGAAAAGATCTTGGCATTGCAAAAAATAGTACCAGGAGGAGAAACACTTGGAGTTGATATGCTATTTGAAGAAACTGCTGGCTATATTTTGCAATTGCAATGTCAAGTTAAAGCACTCAAAGTTCTTGCTAGCTTTGTTGAAGGAAATGACAAACAAAGGATGAAGCTTGGAGGTTAAAATTGTCTTCTTTTTTTTTTGTTTTGGTACATTTTGGTTAGTAATCAAAGACCAAGTTTAGTTTTTTTTTTGTTTTGTTTGGAGCTAAGGAGAAGGGCTAGTGAAAATTAAAACTTGCACCTTTATTCAATTGTTTGGTTCTCTTAATTTCTGTCCTTTTTTTTGTTGGGGTGGGGGTGGGGGTGGGGGTAGAGAGATCTTAGAGATTTCAAATAGGAATTAATTTTCATTTCTAAGTGGTACTTTGAATGAATAACTAATAGGATATGTATGAATTTATGGAGATTTGGGGATTATTTAGAAAATGAAGATATATATATAATCACTTGTTATGGCTCAAATGAAATTGTTTTGATATATTTTTCGAATAATAATTTTAAATTTATATGGTATGAATCTAGATTAGCTAGGAGAAGGAGTGGAATTAATTTTGATATAAACTTTTCATTTGTTTTTAATTTATATACTTTAAATTTAAAAAGGCTAGAATTTCAAATCTATAAGTTTCAATTTTTGACCCTGCTTCTGAATCAATAACAATAATAACATATAGTGAAATTTTATAAGTAGAGTCTTAAAAAGATAAAGTATGTACAAATTTTATCCGTATCTTACGAAGGAAAAGAGCATGTCATGAAGATTAAAGAAGTCGTTTAAAAAAAACTCGATTCAAATAATATTTATCTAAATAAATTTAAAATAAGATATCGAACATCAGGTAAAAAAAAAAAACGAACTCAGGAATGTTCTTGGATCATGTAGTAGGAAATGTGATGATTTGGAGGTATCTCCAATTCTCTTTACCAAGAAAAATGGTCCTCAGTTTGTCTTTGTCCCCCCTCCCCTTTTGTTTCTGATTTATTATTAAAGGTAAATGTGTAATGTTTAGATCCAAAAAATTGACATTATAAAATTAGAAATAGAAAATCTAATATTAGAGAAATTAAATAAAATGATATGGATAAATATAAAACTTTTATACAGCTAGCCTGAGTTTTGGATTTAAGTGCAGTGATTGTTATGGTATTTACATGAATGTGGGGTTGAAATCTATAAATCATGTGGTGCAGCAGCAGTCAATTTCCAAAAATAGACAGGTAATATATATACACAGCATCCAATGTCTGACAACTTGTACCCATTTAGTACAATAACTATTCATTTTATATCGAGATATATTTTATGTTCTTGAATCGATAATTGAATCGATAATCAATTTCGGACGTGGACTCTCTTACTATGAGAAAAGGCTCAAAATAGTCTCTCATCTTTGAATTAAGACTCAAAGTCATTCTTGAGTTTTCATATGGAACATTAATAGTCCCTCGTGTTTGCAATATTGGTGCACTTTGGTCCTCCTTCAAAATTTTGCCTATTTTTTAACATTGATTTCATCCATAATTTATGTATGGAATGTTTAATTGTCAGTTTATATATTTAGTAGAAATAATGACTCCATGTGAGAGATTGTGAGAAGAAAAATATCTTGTTTTGTTCTCATATTGCAGGTAAAGTCGAGAGGTTCATTACGACGATTTCACGTGCAATAGTACAATTTTTTCTTTTCTTGCAATGTCATATGTTAAAATGTTCTTAGTTTAGCTGCAGTAATATTTTTACTGAACAGAACAAGATGTTCTTCTTCTCACCTTCTCTCAAATAGAGTTATTATTTCTATTAAATATATAAAAAGACGATGGGACATTTCTTACATAAAATTATGGACAAAATTAATGTTAAAAAATAGGCAAAAGTTTAGAAAAAGACCAAAAGTACACCAATATTATAAACATGATGGACTATTAGTGCTTCATGTGAAAACTCAATAATGACTTTGAATCTTAAACCAAAGATGATGAACTATTTTGGGCCTTCTCTCCTCTTACTACACATAACAAACTATATGATTGAAGATGTTTTTGAATCGATAATGTGGACTTTCTTACTACACAAGACGAACTATATAATTGAAGAATTTTTTTTTGGTAGAAATAATTAGTGCCTATGATGTTATACCACGTGTAATATAGCAAAGAATATGCCTTATTCGATTGCAGAGTTCTGAACATGAATATATATGGACCTCAATTGTTCATGTGGGGGATACTGGGCTTTCTGATTTATCTCACTAGTGGGACTTTTTTTGAGGCCCATATAGTTATGCTATGAAACTTCATGGGAGTTGATTTCTGTAGCACTTCTTTGTTTCGGTCGAGTAGGATTAAAACAGAGTACATAAAGTGTAAGTTTAGTGTTGTATAATAGGAGGTCTGGATGGGGAAATGAGAATTGGTATACAAGTCAAAGTCACTTGCAAGAAAGGAAGTTTCAAGTATCTTATCTTTGGTGTAGAATCCAAGAAAATGAAGAGATCAATGAAATATTGAATATCGTATTAGAGGAGGACGGATGCAATGAAGATTCATATTTGATGTCATATATAATAAGAACGTGTCACCAAGACTTAAAAGTAAATTCTATAGAACAATTAGTAACTTGTAAGAGCGATTATATCGCTCTCAACGTTATCATATCCCCTAACCAAATTTCACGAACTCCTATAAATTGTTGCCACCATTGGACCCTTCCACAAATGAGGCAATTTTTTTTTTAGTAAAAGAATAGTGAGATGTGTGGCACTAACGTAACAACAATAATAACTTACTGGTGTGATCGGATTAGTAAGGCGTGAAAAAGATAAAAAGTAGAAGATTATTTTTGATAAAATCTCGACTCAAGTAAACTGTATTAAAATTATCATTATAAAATAGAAATACAATAACGAAAAGATCAGCGGTGGACTCTAAATTTTCACTAAGCGCATTCAAAATTTGAAGAAATAGACACCTGAATTAATCGAATGATGTTCAATATCTACTATATATACATAAAAAATTATTCAAATCATATATAAATAGTATGATTTTTCGTCAATGGAGGTTCGAATAACTCCCTGAGCATAAGGTGGCTCCACCCCTTGAAAGGACTATTATGATAGTGAAATTAAGGAATGAACATTTGCAACAATCATGTTCAATTTTTTTTGACAGTTTTAGATTGTGGTGCTTTGTAATCAAATGGGAGAAGAAAATTCATAAAAAGACTAAAAATAAAGAAGATAAAAAAATAACAATAACAAATAATAAGATAACACAAACATGTGTAGCACTAGAGTGATTATGACAAACATATAATGTCACAAAAGATTGTTATCTTTATAAAATATTGAGAAAATTATTGTCATAAACAAATTATTTCAACAAAAATTGTCTCCTAAGAGCTTGGACTTGATGGGCTTCCCAATTCACAATCATGGCCCAATAGTTATACAACACCTACAAACTCAATAGCTTTTGGAAATGGGTTAATATACACCGTCCGATTCAAAATAACAACACGTGTCCTCCATCGGCCCGAAAAGTGAGATTTCATTTTATTCTTCTTTTTCTTTTCCGACAAGATTTTATATTCCACAAAAAGATATCTTTTCTAATTATTCTCATTTTCTACAATCAAAAACCCTAATTTTGGCTGCTTGGAGTTCATTGAAGCTCAGTTTTTTTGATTAATCCGTTTACTGTTTGTCTGATTATTTTCAGGTTTGATTATGGCGGATGATACCGTTACCAATGGCGAGGTTTTCGACGACGCGCCGGTGGAGATCGCCGTTGACGAAACTACCGATGCTGCGTCGAAAACTTCTGCACTGAAACAGAAGATAGCGGCGCTTGAGCAAGAGAAAACTCAGCTTCTTCACGAGAACGATGTGATCAAACAGAGAATCGAGAAGCTCAAGAGTTCAATCGAGGAATCTCAGAGCGAAAAGGATGAGTTGTTGAAGAAGGTGGAGAATTTCGAGTCGGAGAACAAGGCTTTAGGATCAGTAGCCGCTAGAGCTTCTCAGCTGGAAGGGGAGGTATCTCAACTGCAACATGATCTCATCACTGCTATGAATGATCTACAAGGTTCTAATTCTGAGTTATCAGGGGTGAAATCGGCATTGGAGGGATTGAAGAGTACTGAAAATGAGAAGAGTGTGAAGCTGGAGGCTGTTGAGAGTGAAAAGAATCTGTTGTTGTCAAAATTGGAGAAGTTAGAAGCTAGTGGAAACAATCAGAAAGAAGAAGTTGAAGGGAAGGAAGAAGAAATTAGGGTTTTAAAGAAGCATATTGAGGAATTGAAGGGTACTGTTGTGAACAATGAGGAATGGGAAGAGGAGAAGAAGGAGCTTCATTTGGTGAAGGAGGAATTAGAGAAGAGGGTTAAGGAGATGATTGAGAAAGCTGCAGAGTTGGAGAAGAAATTGATGGAGAAGGAAAGGGTTATTGCTGAAAGATTTGTTGCTAGCAATATTAATGGCATTCCTGTTGGTGATGATCAAGTTGGTTTCCTTGGCGGTGATGTAAATTTGCCAGTGGTTGCTGCATCATCTGTTGTTGCAGTTGCAGTGGTTGGCGCTATTTGCTATCTTCGATACGGACGAAAAGCGTAAACCCTTAGCTTGATCTTCAATAAGTTTTAGTCTTTTTGGTTTTGTGCTGATCAAGCTATGGAATTTACAGTTTTGATAGTTCTTTGGTTATGTTGGATTATTAGTTAACTTTTTTATCTTAATCAGATAATAGATTACACTATTATGGTGCTGATAATATGTTTGTTTGCTAAGCTGGAGATAGTTGACATACTTGTACTAGTGCTTCTTTCTCATTTCCATGAATCTGATTACAATGGTTTTGTAGTTTTTCCCTTGTGATGTAATTGCTTAAAAGAGTTGCCGAATCTGTATGTAATAATGTGTTTTCGTCGAATGATTGAATTGCTTAAACACTTTATTGATTTCTTCTTTCTCAATTCCAGGAGTTTGATTTACAATGGTTTTGTAGTTTTACCCTTGTGATGTAATTGCTTAAAGAGTTGCTGAATCTGTTTGTAATAATGTGTTTTCGTCGAATGATTGAATTGCTTAAACACTTTATTGATTTCTTCTTTCTCAATTCCAGGAGTTTGATTTACAATGGTTTTGTAGTTTTACCCTTGTGATGTAATTGCTTAAAGAGTTGCTGAATCTGTTTGTAATAATGTGTTTTCGTCGAATGATTGAATTGCTTAAACACTTTATGGATTGTTTCG